TTTGCTAATATCTGGCTTTCACGGAATCCTAGCTTTGCTAGCATCTGGCTTACACGGACTTCTAGATTTTCTTATATCTGGCTATATAGCCAGAATCTTTGGGCCTTTTAAAACCTAATAGTTCTTTGAAAATGCCTCCAAAATTAGCACGACTGGCGGAGTGAATTATTATTCCGGACACCTACACAATTTCCTTATTGAGGATCTTGGGCTCTGCTGGACTACCCTCCACAGAAATTGACGGACCGTATGGTTTTTCTAATAATCCCGAAAAAGCGGTTTGTATGGAGCTGGTTTCTCTGGATCTACAGATTTTCGGATTTTAAAATATCAGGCCTGATAGGTAAAGGCTCTGGTGCTAGAGATTTGGAATTAAAATCCTTTAACGCACCGAAAGCCAACCTGACTTAGCCAAGTTTTGTATTTTTTGTATTTTGGCACCAGTTCTATTATTCCTGACCCCTCAAACAATAGCAAGATCCTGAATAATTTCACCGGACAATTTTGTTATTGCGGATCCCTATACTAAAGGGAGCCCACCATTAACCAAAAACCCTAGACCCTAAGTCTTAAACCCTAAACCCTTAGCCCAGTTTTAGCGTCCTAGCAGAAACCCGGGTTTAGTGCTTATCCTGTTTAGCCCGGGGGAGGGTGGGGGGCACTTGATCACCTTCCTACCGGGGCTCTCAGAATCCCAAAAGCGCTTGGGCTTATCGAAGCCTATGCCTTTTGTGGGGTTCCTCACAGCAAGAATGACAATGCCTTGGGCACACCCTAAACTCTGAACCCACGCAAAATGCCACAAGTCATCTGCAACAAGATGAAAAAAACTCAATGGCTGCCTACGCCAGTTCAGGGTTCATGGGTAGTTTAGGCTTAGGGTTTCAGGCTTTAAAGCTTTAGGTGTTAGGGCTTTGCGTTTCAGGCTTTTAGGCTGGACGGTCTAGGGTTAAGGGTAAGGTTTACTGCTCAACTTGTGACACTTACAACAAAGGCGACTCCTAATCCAGCCTATACATACCACTGAACCTCCAAGAAAGCTAGACTCCTGCCCTTGAGCAGTGGAGTCAGCAAGCTTTCCAGTAATCCCATGCCTTCAAAATGCATTCACCACCGCCTGGTAACCAATAGTCCAAATACGAACTTATACATATATATATATATGTATACACGGGATAAATGTTAGTACCGGGGGGGGGGGGTTCATTCTATTGTGATTAAGACCGTGGTTCCAGCCCTAAACCCCAAACCTTCAAAAGGTACTTGGAGAGCAAGATTTGGGTCCTGCAAGCACCTTGGTTTGGGGGTTTGCAGTTACATGTGGGTTTAGCGTTGTCCTTTTCAAGCCACAACATTCTTTGTAGGACCAGGACGCCTTTGTAGCCCCTAACCCTGTACCAAATAGTGTCCCAATAAGGTACCACCAAGGCCAGACTGCTCGGTGTAATCTAGAATAATTTCAATTCCCTATTTATGGCCATTTTTGGTACTACTCCCTATATAAGCCACCATTTAGGGTAAGGTCGGGTGAGCTCCCTTTAAATGGCCCAGAACGCTTCTGGGGACTATAGTTTTTAGGAACTGGAAGTTGATGCTTCGTGATTGTGGGTTTCCCAAAGTTAGGGGTACCTTTTTGGGGGCCCCAATAATGAGGCCTATAGTATTTGGGGGTCTATTGGGTTCCCCTCATTTTGGGAAACTACCATTCAGAGAGATGAAGAGGATTCCGAGTTTTCGGCCTGGTTGAGGTTTGGGGCATGGTATAGGGTTTAGGTTCTGAGCTTAGGTGTAGGGTGTAGGGCTAGGGTTGGACCTAGGGTACCTATATACTTGGAAACAAGAATGTATATACCTAATACTTTGGTATCTTGACCTGTTTGAAATTCATTGCTCTAGGTAGGATTTGTAGGGCAGAAAGGCTTGAAAGCCAGCAGCCAAGAGCAAGGATATTGCCATTGGTCTAGCCTCAAGTGGCGTTGCGCAAGAGAGGGGAACTGTATGATGAAGTACTAGACTAACAAGGCCCGTTGCTGGTTCCCGCACCCTGAGAGCAAAGCCTCTCTTGTCAATAATTACACCGCTCGCGAAACCCAATCGTCCCAACAAACGTGATCCCAACCGGGGGCTCTACACCCTGAACTCTATAATGCGCTACAATCTCAAACTCTCATACCGAAACCCAAACCTAAACCCCAAACCGTCCACCCGTAAAGTAAAAAGGTGAAAAACGTCCCCGAGTATGGGCCTTAACCCTGCATGTGGTCACCCTGTAGCAAGTATGTATTCTGAAGAGTCCCTAGAAATCCGCGCATGAAGGGATAAGGGCGTCCTCTGGAGACATCATTGCGAAGTGGACTTCGCTGGGTTTTGGCGCTGTGCCCCCAGCTGCAGGGTAGCCCCTGGAGGCACCCTTGGCTGACCTGCCAAGCGTGGTCAAATCAGGATGTCACTGGCCATAGGGACGAGCATCAGACATTATATGTGGGCTCAGCGCTAAGCACCAGCCAGTCGCAAAACGGAATATCAAATTGAGAACATGAGCGTGAAATGGAAGCGGGGATTGTAAGGGTTGGTATAGGAATTCTATTCTACATGTTCTACTTAAATTGTATACGGATACAATGTCGAAATGATCCATGTCATTTTCCATCTTCTACATAACGCTTGGGGTATAGGACCCAATAACTAAACAAACACTACACTCCATGCTCCGTACGTTCCAAAACCCTATTGTTAGCCCAAACCCAAAACAAACTCAAAATCATAATAGCACTTCAATAAACCCTAGACCCAGTCTTCTCATCCGGAACAAACCCTACCCAGCAGTTCGAGCCTGGCTGGCTGAGGCGGCAATGTTGGGAGGCTGGACCCTTCCTTCTCCTCAGTAGGACTAATGGGTTGCTGGCCAGGGACTTATACTTGAAATTGCTATAATATGCGGTATTCAGTGAATTATAAGGTTTCCTAAACCCTGAACACAATATGCCCTATATACCCTAAATACCCCTTGGTACAACCCTATTATAGTGACCCAATTAGGTCCTTACCCAGACTAGGGTTTGAGGAGAACGCGCATTACATCAAGCTTTGATGGCTTTAGCAGGCATGGCTTTCGGGTTTGACAAGTTAGAGCTCAAGGTTTGCAGGTCAGGGCTCAGGCTATATATATATATACACACACATACATACATGTAGGCAAAATGGCCCATGCAAAAAAAAAGAGAAAAAACTAAGCCCTAAACCCTGATCCCCGAATTCTGAATAATCCTGATGCTTATTACAAAGCCCAACCCAGGGGTTTGACTACTTTGGCGAGCCTCGCGCAAAATTCTTTCGACTGTGGAATGCACAGATTAACCATCCAACCAAAGTACCATGTATGTGGAGAGATGCCGTTTACTCATCGGGCCCGACTCTCCCTAAACATCTAAACCCTACAAGCCACTATACTCATCTTTCCTTCTCCATGTGATTCTCCGGTTTAGGCATACCCATGTTGATCCTCTCGGGCCCCATAGACAACCATGTAATCCTAGTGCTAAAATTCATTCCATCCATGATGCTCTTTGTTCATTTCTTTTGCATTCAAGGATAAATCTCCATATTACCATCCGCTCTCACCTATTCCCCATTCAGGGCGTTTGGAAATGACCTTGAGACTAGGGGCTTGCCGTCTTCTCCCCGCAACTCAATACGCCCTCCTCCCACTCCGAAATTTAGCATGCTTTGACTTGACTGAACTTCAGCGCTTCCAGACTTCAAGTCTTGGCAAGCCTAGACCCTGAACGGCGTAGCCCGCTGTGAGCAGCCCACCACATACTAGAAACCCTGTTGTAGCTAGTGGGTATCCAGACGGAGCGCAAATACTTCGTCCGAAGCAAACTCATCTGTGCCACCGAGGCGGGCGCGCGCAAGCACTTATCAATTAACCTAAACCCTAAACCCTACACNNCCCCAAACCCAAAAATCCTAAACCTGCATTAATCAACCTGAGTATCCCGACATACTGTTGATTGCGGGGACCTTCAGGCGCAGTACAGGGGGAGAATCCAGGC